TACAAGATTCCAAAGGTACTAATCACAAAGTGAGGAGCAGCGTGGTGATTAAGTAGCTCAGAACTTGGTGTTAGAGCTACTTGGTGTCAAACTCAATCATAAATACACTTTCTCCTATATCATCAGCTTCACTCTTTTTTTTATAAATATTTCCCTTAGTGTTAGAGCCATAATAACCCAAACTGATGATATAGGAGAAGCTTTGTTTGAATTGTTTAGAGTTAGTGAAAATACCGAAACAAAGAGTGAAGCTGAATCTTTAGCAACACATGAACTTGAAAGTTTTAAATTTTTGTTGAGCATGACAATATGGCATAACATTTTGAAAAAAATTGACTTGGTTAGCCGAAAATTGCAATCTGGACTGGAGATATGTAACTTGATGCTGCAATAAAAAATTTGAAGGGACTTGTTTCTTATTTTGAAGACTATAGGCAAAATGGGTTCACATCTATCATACTTTCTGCAAAAGATATTGCATCTAAGATGGAAATTAACCTTGTATTTCCTAAAAACGTCAAATTCGTAGGAGAAAACAATTTGATGAAAATGATCATGAAGAGACTTTTCAATATGCTCAAGAATATTTTAGGGTTAATTATTTTCTTGTTGTGGTTGATGCTGCTATTTCTTCTTTGATGAGTAGATTTGAACAATTAGAAATACTTGAAGGTATTTTTGATTTTTTGTTGAATCCTAAAAAGTTATTTGCAATGAATTACCATATATTGCATGAATGTTGTGTTAATCTTGAAGATGATGCTTTAACACATGGTAATGAATATGATATTAATGGTGATGATTTGTGTTTTGAATTGGAAGTTTTATGATTGTATTTACCACTAGAGGAAAAGACAACCATTCTATAGGGGCCTTTTTCTTCCGACGGCAAGTGGGCTGGGCTGATGAAATTGTCCCCTTTGTCTAAGTTTGAAAATTAAGCCCCAAAATGCTTCGAAAGGGCAGCAAGACCTTAGGAAGTATTTTGGTTACCTTCACCAACCAAAATGACATCAACTTACAGATAATTTCTTCATGCTTACAGATAAACCTTTGGGCTTTGCATGAGAGGCATGTGGCATGGGAGCAAAATTGTCAGGGGTTTAGCACTTTAGGAGAGAGATAGAGTTCCTATGAAGGTCAGAGGTTCTAATGGAAGAGAGGAGGGGTTCTAAGGAGGCTTGGTGAAGAGTTTTGGGTGATTTTCGTAACTTCCGGCAGCTTGACGGTGACTCTGTCAAAGCTTCTGTCAATCTGCCAAAACAGGGGAAGCAAGGGAAAATGGGCAAGAATGGCACGAAAATTGCTGAGCTTGTAAGTGAGAGAGAAAGCTTGCTCTCTGAAGGTTGTGGGTTATCCTGCGTTGGATAGAGGAAGCCCTATTTATAGTTGTTGGGGTTTGTTCTTCTCCAAGAAACCCTAATGGTTTCTTCCCGATCTAGCTAAGCTTTCCTCTTCCTTTCTTCTCCTCTTTCTTGACATACTTGATGGTGGCAAAGTCAGCTCTGCCCAATCCCACAAAATCAGAGATTTTTGGGAGCTCAATGTTTCTTCCTGCGGCTGCTTCAGATGGGAACTTCCATTTTCACCCATCCTCTTTCTCTTCTTTCCTCCCCTTTTCATGGCCAGATCTGATGAAGGCAAGAGAATGGGTGCGCCTGCTGGTTTAAGGGATGGCATCCTCCTTTGCGTGCCAAAATCCCTTGGTCTCTTTAATTCTTGCACTTGGAACCTGTTCCTTAGCCTCCCAGCAGCCCCTCACACGTGAATCTTTGGCCTCTTCGTGGTCTTCTGCTTCAGCCAAATGCTGAGGGCTTTGACTTCCTTTTATTCAAATGGTTTGGGCCTTTTAATACAGAAAACTAAGTCCTCTAATAAGTGGGTTAGATTTACCAACCATTTGGGCTTTTATGGGTTATCTAAGATAATGGGTCTTTTTTACTACAGTGATGGGCTATTTTGGCTGGGTTACTCTAGTTGAAGTAATAGTCCATCTCCTCTCTTGTGCTTACCCATGTTTGGGCCCAAGAAAATGGGCTTGAGTCCCGAGGCCCCCCAAGCGACCCGAGATTTCCATTTCTTGACCTGTCAATGGGCCCCCACGACAACTTGTTACCATCCATGCCACAACCCACTCAAGCAAGCCCCGGGTATTTGAGTGGCTTGGGGCCCACTTAAGCTTGTAGTGTGATTGGGCGTGGGATAATAATTTCCCGTTTGGCATGGCATGTCGCTTGGCACGCTTTTGAGTATAACGCTTGATAGGATAATTGGCATGGATTTGCAAGGCTAAATGCATCCTTATAATTTTATCTCAGTTTTTTAGCATGATAGATTTTTTATTTGGCATGGCATGTAGGGTATGGATCGTGCATGACAAACTTCTGTGTACCTCAAATTAGGCTCTTTTCCAATAATATATCGGCTTGGGCTAGAAATTTATCCGGGCCTAGCCATGGATATTTTGGGCCTCAACACATTCAAATTCTTGATGATGTAAAATTTGTAAATTGCTTTCCAAATGTCTCATTTGCTTATAGAATTATATTGACTGTGCCAGTGACTGTGGCCTCTATAGAAAGAAGTTTTTCAAAATTAAAATGAATAAAATCTTACTTGCATTCTACCATATCACAAGAAAGGTTGAATGGATTGGCAATCTTATGCATTGAAAAGAATATGTTGGAAAAGCTTGATTTTGAAGATGTTATTGAAGATGATCAAGAATTTTCCAATGATTGTTTGTACTTTTAATGTTTTTGTTTTTGTTTTTTGGATTGTAGATGGTGCAAAGGAAATCAAGCCGCTATTTGTGTATTTTGATAAAGGAAAAGCATCAGATATTTGCACATTGTAATGGGCTGGATCTCTTGCTGGCTGCCTATTTGGGAGGAAGTAGGCTCCAAGCAGATTTTGGACCCTTCCAAATTTGCTGCAACTATTTCATATTGTCATGCCCCGGACCCAGGGGTCGATGTAAATCCAGCACCCGGTGCGTGAGAAAATAAAATAAAAAGAAATACAAAGAAAGCCGAAACATGGGTTTAAAATAAACTTCTCTTATAAAAATATCTCCAAAATCTTACAACTTTACAATTAATAAATAAAGTTCTATCACTCTCATCTAATTCAGCCTCAACTGTTTTAGTCCTTATCCTGCCCATTAATTCATCTGAAAAATTAAACAGGGTGAAGGGTGAGCAACCACCACTCAGTAGGGACATGAGACCTTACCACAATAGATTGATATAACTAAATTAAGTGACATGCAATCACACAGCCAAATATCACATTAATAATATTAATGCATGAATGCTCTTCATCTACTCCTGTTAATTCATATATCTGGACAAGTAGACCTGCACATCCCATACCATGCTTATACCACTTGGTCCCGAATGCCCATTTATATGAATTAACACCCATTTCAATCATCCCATAATTCCCCTTTTGTTAGTCATCTTGTCTAACTCCCTTTCGCCAGTCCCGAATCACCCAATAAAAACCATGTGCATTGTGGGATCCCTGAGACTTGGTACCTGCCAAGAGTTAGACTCAACTACACAAAAGATCCTTCCCATTACCCTCTTTTCCATACTTTCTTTAACAACCCAAGAATTCCAGCCAATTTCCATAACATGATATAATTATGCCTTTCAAATAATAATATCATGCATAATATAGTGCTCACGAAATTTAATTAGATCAATCCCCGTAAAGGCCCCCCAAGAAATCCCTACCTCAATTCCAAAGCATTGCTCCAAGTTAAGAAAATACAAGCTAAGCTCCAAATCTCCTCCAAGAATCACCTCTCTCTCTCTCTCTCTCTCTCTCTCTCTCTCTCTCTAAATTTCTTTTCTAATTTCTCTAGTTTTGAAACTATAAGGTTATGCTTATATTTATAGTGTTTATAAGGATAGGATAAACTTCAATATTAAAAGGATAAGAACATCGAAGTTTATCCAAAAGATAAATATCCTAACAAGATAAGATCATCCAAGTTTATCCAAAAGATAAATATCTTAAAAAGATAATATCATCCAAGTTTATCCAAAAGATAAATATCTTAAAAAGATAATATCGTCCAAGTTTATCCAAAATATAAATATCTTTTTTTATCCTTTTAAAATACAGGTCTTCACACATATATTGTTTTCAAAGCTGCTTTTGTGATCCAGATTATACACAAATAATGACTTTGCTATTAAGAGACTTAGACTATGCTTTATAATTGACTAGGTAGGATTATGCTCTATAATTATTTATTGCAATGTATGCTAAGTTACTTATTGTAGTTTGTTTTAGTTGAAGACATTTGTGAGTTACTTTTAGTGGGCGTTTTGTGTCCTACTTTCTTTCTTTCTAGTTTTATGTCTTAAAAATATGTATGTTGTTACTTATTGTAGTTTCTTTGTCCATTTGTGCTACCATTTGTTACTTTTCTTATGTTGTTGTATGATTCTTTCTGCACACCAAAAAGAGGATTCTGCACTTAAACTCATGTGATGAATCCTGAAGCTAGAAGCCAATCATAAGGGAAAGGGTTAGTAATTTGAAAAAATACTTAGTTTTAATGTATCTAATCTGAATTTTTTTTTTTACGGAGATTTGTCCTGCTATAATGCATACTACCTTTTTTATTCACATGTTCTAAGCGCTACGTAAAATCATTTTATTTGTTGTTTTTTCACAATTGTATATTAAGGGAAGGAGCCTCATTTAATTTATCGTCTAGGACCACCCAAAAGTCAGGATTGGCCCTGCTCGTTAACTTAACGGGTCCACCTATTTTCAACACGACCTGTTAAGCTCCGACTCGAATACTGATTTTTTCGTGCAAATTTGTGTCGTTTTAACATGTCCTGTACAATATCGTTAGATCTAAATACAACGTTATTTTTAAAATAATTGGAATATGTGCAGAAGAAAAACATTTGCAGAAAAATACATGCGTAGTTAGTTGTAGGGTAATTAATACAAGTGTGGGTTTTAGAGTAGAAGGGAATTTGGCGGTTAGGGTTTTAGGAGAAAGTGGGACAGAACGAGCGAGCAAGCGACCTTTGCTTATTTTTGTTTTGCACTCCTTTTCGGGGGACTGAGGAGGCACCTTCGCCCTCACTTAGACCTCACACTCGCTTCAGCTGAAATTGCTGCTCTCTCTTCGTATTTCTGCCCCAACAAAACCCTAGAGGTAAACTGAACCTCTCTCTCTCTCTCTCTCTCTCTCTCTCTCTCAATGAATTTACTTTGACACCATGAAAACGAAAAGAAGATTTGGGGTTTTCATGTATGGTTGTTTGTTAATGTCTTATTTAGGGTCCGATTGCTAGCCACATTGTCTCGAATGGTTTCCTGAAACCCCTTTTTCTTTTATTTCTGTTTGGGTTGTCTGCATGTCCTCCTGTTAGGGTCTGCTCTAAATGTATGGCGTTTCAGGGTTTGTCCAAAACATGAAATTTCTGAAATGTTTAAATTTTAGCATGATGTTCTATGTTCTGTTTGGGAACTTAGAAAAAGGGGAAGATAATCGAAGGGTTAGTGTTGTTTTCTAAGAAACCCAGAAGGAATTAACAAATAGGAACTTGTTAATGTGCCTCTTATGAGCCAAGGGGTTCCATTGCGTGTGTAACTCAGCCTAACGTTTAAACATTTTCTTCTGTTTCTTGCTCACTATAAAATTTGTATTTGCCCATCTATGGTTTACTGAAACGGGGCCCAGAAGAAATAAGTACAATAGGAGAGCTGTTATAATTCAACTGAAAACATTAGTTATAGTTGCTGTTATGTTTTCTGCTTCATTTTCTGATTTTGTTGTGGTTCCTGGTTATATATAATATGACTAAATGCGTTGTTACTTTCGTAATTCAGTATGACTAGACAAAACCAAAAGCCTTTCAAATGAAATTCAATTTTCCCTTTCACGCATTTTGTTTTATGTTTTCTGTTTTTCCTCTCCTAATTACAGAGAGGAGAGAGATTTGGGAGAAAGGAGGGGGAGATGAGCCATGACAGAGAGACAAAGAAGTAATAAGGAGGACACATAAAGAAAAAAAATGTTTATTGGTTTTAATTTTAGTTTATAATCCATTCTATTTATTTTTCTCCTGTCTTTCTTGCTTCTGTCATCTCTCTTCACTTTTTCCTTCTCTATCTACAGCTAAGAAACTAAGAAACAAAAAAAAATCAAGAACAGCTCCGTTATGGTTCTTTGTATGTGTTTTAATCTATGTCAAGCTTTTAAATGAGTTGGTTTTGGGACCTTATGAAATGCACTTGGTCAATTTTTTTGATTATCACTGTCTAACTAGTGGTTTGACAAGAGCATGATGTAAATTGCTCTTCTTAAATTGATGCATGTGCATCAGACCTAAATACAGTAATCTGTTGAGTCCCTGATCTTTTCCCATAAGAGCAAAAATGTTTCAGAATAGAGTTATTATATGAAGGTTTGCCTAATAAGCTGTCTAGCGCTGGTTGAACACCAGTTGGATTCATGTTTAGATTTTTAGAATCCCACTAATCCACTTATTTTTTTTCAGAAACTTAACTTGTAATTTAATTAGACTTTTAATGGTCCAGAGCATTCGTTCTCATTGCATGTGCTTCTGTCACTGGCAATTCAGCTGAGAGACACCCAGATGGCACAGTGGGGTACTCGTCGTAGGCGAGTTAAGTTCCTTGGCCAACATGAAGAAAACAAACCCCAAATTTCATCCAGCATCACTGAGGAAGAAAATTCAACAGATGAATTTAAAGTAGCTGTGAAAGCTGAACCTCTAGAAATACCAGAAATCAAGAAGAGGAAGCGCCTCAGCCTAGGCAAAGGCAGATGGACAACTAGTAGCTCTAAGGGTAGGACAAAGAAGCGTAATAATGTGACTGAAAGATGGACAGCTGAAAGGTAAAACCTATATCACTTTTTTGTTGATGACTCTGGTGGTAAGGCATTTTGATATCACAACGAATTAAATGTATATGCAGGTATAAGCTGGCAGAGGAAAGTATGATGGAAGTTTTGAAGGCTGAAGGGGCAACTTTTGGAAACCCAATTTCCAGGCTAGAACTCAGATCATTAGCTCGTAAGCGAATTGGTGATACCGGGTTGCTCGATCACTTACTGAAGCACATTGATGGTAAAGTGGCACCAGGTGGGACTGAGCGGTTTCGGCGGTGGTTCAACACCAATGGAACAATGGAGTATTGGTTGGAGAGTGCTGATCTGGTTAACATTCGTCAGGAAGCTGGGGTGCATGATCCTTATTGGATTCCACCATCTAAGTTGATGCCAGGTGGTGCCCCCTCAGAAGATTCCGTTGCTGCTGCAGAATTGAAGCTACTCAAGGCAGAAGTGGATAAAATGAAGAGGTAGATAGAACTTTATAGACCAATTTCTAACTGAAATAGGTATCCCTAAATAATTTGTCTCTTGTATTGAAAGTGATATGCAGGAGCTGCTGTTATCCAAGAAGCAAGAGAAAGACCGAGCCAATCAGGTTGAGTTGAATGTTAAAACAACGTTGTACCTACATTGTAATTTGATATTGGACTGCTGCTCAAATAAAACCTCAATTGAAGTGTTTGTTCAGCAGAATATGCTTGAGGATTTGTTGAAATGGAAAGCTCAGACTGAGCAAAGCTTGAAAGTGATTTTAGGTTCTTGGAAGGGTATGCAGGTATATGAATAGTATATAATCATCACTGATTCAAAGTCTGATACTTTAGAAGATTAAAAAAAAAATCTAATGGAAATCATAGTTGGTGGTTCTTTCATGTTTTGGAAAATACATCTAGTTGTGTTCTGATTGTGTCAGTTTGGCTCCTTTGAAATCTCGTTTTCTTTTCTACAGGACAAGTTTGAGGAATTAATGATGTGGAAAGCTAAAGTTGAGCAACAGGTAGCTGAAATGACTAATGTCATGAGTAATATGCAAGTACCAAAGCAATACACTGCCACCAACCCTGAAACATCTGAGCGATGGGAAGATTGGCTAGAGAGCACCAACCTCGATAATTTTCAGGGAAATGAACTTGTGCCTTGGTTTGAGAGCACGAATCTGGTTAATGCTGAGGAAGGAGTTATAATCCAAGATCCCTACCTAGCCCCGCCACTTAGATCAAAGCATGGTGATAGCTCATTTCCAGACCCTTTTTGCAAAATCAAGGAAGAAATTACTGAAATGGAGAGGTAACGAATGAAAACTAAACGAAAAGTCAAATCATAAAAATTTCTTACAACTAATCTGAGTTGTGTTCTCATTCTGCTGCAAGAAACAGAGATGTGCATGAGCTGATACCAAGGAAACAAAAGGAATATCAAGCTAATGTGACCCCTGATTCTTCTGCTACTGCAAATTCAAAGTCAGAGATTGATAATTTGTTTATGTTTCAGGTGATATGCTGACAACAGACAAATAGAGGCTTGATATGTGCATAAATACATGCATGTGTTGCTTATGTTTTATGTTGTTTTTTCTTTCTTTCTGGAATGACTTGATAAAGCCTCATTTGAAAGTTCCTTCCTGACAGGAAATGTTACAGGAGTTGTTCAATTGGAAATCTATGACGGAGCAGAAGCTGAGTGAGATGTCAAATTCCGTGAATGCCATCAAGCAGACATCAAAACTAATGAGTCCTCCATTCCCTCCGCAGCTGCCAGAAGATGGAAATCTGAGTATGGAATATCATCCTTGTTTCATGTTTTAGGATGGATGACTTTAGATTGGTAAGTACCATAGGATTAGATGTTGTATAGCTGCAGCCTGAAAACCCCATTCCAACTTTACTAAACCCAGTGAGAGACCCACTTCTAACCTACATGACGAGTCGAGTCAAAACCCTTCCCAAGTATTGCCGCCTTAATTTACTACCAACCTCTAGTTAAATGTGGCGTAAATGTTAATATACCGCCGAATATATTATATTATATTATATAGGTTTAGACCCTTTGCGTTGCAAGGATGCACTTTTGCTTTAACATGCCGAATTACCCACAGGTGGACATATTTATGTAATGTGTTTATGTTATGACAGTGTGATAACTGATATGAAGCGTATTTTTGAGGTTACCCATGATGTTTTTTCTGGGTTCCCTTCCAATGATGTTTTTACTGATGATAGATTTCTCTCACTTCGAGAGGTATATGAACAATAGAAGACTGCCAGCCAGCTTCTACACTCAGAAATCAGACCAAGGAAGTGCTAAGTGGAACTAAAATCACCCAACACATGAGACAGAGACCCCTTCAACCATTACACTAGAAAATTTAATGGTCCCAAGTGATCATAAATTAACCACCACTAAGCTTTGATTATATTTTAATTTTATTTGCCAACGAAATCAGTGTACTTCTACGTAACATATGTATATGTTACGGGAAGTCACGAGGGTAAAGACTAATCGAATCGCAAGTATATTTTAAGCCTAACCTCCTAGTTGAGGAAAAGTGTTGGCAAATGCAATTGAGAAAACGCTAGGATTTCATAGGATATGCTTTCCAGAACAACATCATCTAAAGAGATGAGGCAACGGCCTGCCATTCTTTAACCATCTAATGCTGCTTTTTCTTTCGTTAATTACTTTCCCCCATCTTTTGCTTCGGAGATTAATTTCTTGTTACGCATTTAATTTTTTTCTTGATTGTTTCGTTGTGTATTGCCTCTTGGATGGTCCAATCATACTTGTGCTACAGAAATCACCCAGGCCTCTTCTCTACTATTTTGATCAATTTAAGAGGCTTGCCCTTACTCCCCATAGAAAATCGTTGTCTTTGTACATTTCACAAACACAACATTCATCTTGGTTACAAGCATTAAACACGTAGTCCTAGTGAAGTTGCACTTTGGTCCTTGTAGCCTACGGCTTCATTGATTTTGTCAAATGTATAATTTGTGCTATTTTTACGTTAAGTCTGGAAGGCCTTATTGAAGTAATGCTAATGCTGGTATCATTAATAAAACACAAATAACAAAATTTATCGAAAGAAAAGAGACAGCACAAGATCAAAGCCATTTAACAACGGTCCTCATATGAGATATAGGCATCTAGTGCCACACGATGCAGCTCTGCATCAAATTCGGCTTGCAACGAACGAAATACAGATTCTGCACCTCTAAGTTTCACCCACATCTTCTCAAGCTTGACCATTCTTTCATTTTTAATCCACCTCCAATCCACTACATGACTTGCTAAGTACCTCTCACAAGCTTTCATAACATTAACAAACCCACCCTCCTCTTTCTTCTCCTCCACTTTCTCATGATCCGCACAGTCATTGCTTGTTTTCTTCTCTTCTGTAGACACCGAATTCTTCTTCTTCTTCTTCTTCTTCTTGATCTGCTGCTTTTTTTTCTTCTCAACAACTTGGCCATCTTCAGCAACATGAGCATCCTCATCAATTTCGGGTATTGCCTCCTTTTTCACATTATTTTTCTTCGACTTCTTGGCCACGCTAGCATTGCACGCTAATCCTTCTCGGGGACGTTTTTCTTTTGCAGCAGCAGCATGAGTAGATGATGGTGACTTCTTCTCGGTGTTTGAAGCAACATTTTCAGTTTTGTTCTTCTTGGGGTCGGACTTGATCACCTCTTGAGCAGAATTGTCATTGGAGTTGGCACTGGATTTGAATTTAGGTTCGGCATCTGTTTCGAACAAAACATCGAACTGATTATCTTCATCACATGTATCTGGTATGATTGTATCCTCTAGTTGAAGTTGACGACGATGACCATATGAACCACCAGATTCATATCCATCAAAAGATGGAGTGTCGGGGTCAATGGGAGCAAGTGCAAGAGCAGCCATGGATACTTGCAAGTTGGTGCCTTTCTTGAGTTACGAGGCTAAATATGCTTACTTTACTTAAGCTCTGTATATGATTTCTGTATAAAACCAACACTTATTTATATATCATCACTTGGAGTAGAGGGTGGGAGTTGCAAAAGTTATACAAAAGGGGGAAATGCAAAAATGAAAAGAAAAAAAAAGGCGCCAATGTGATGTGTTCATCTAACGAGGCAATCAGCCATTTACTTGTCTCATTTTTTTTATGATTTACCCGAGAGAAACCAAACGAACAGTCAAATCAAATTTAATTTTGTTTTTGGGGTCTGCCAGCCATTGCCTGCAGCTTTATTTATTTCAATAATAAAGTCGTGCGTTAAACCTCTAAACTTAGAAGCAAAGCAAAATTGTATCCAAATCCACCAATGAACTCCCGAGTTTTATTTTTATTTTTATTTTTATTTTTTTCTTTGAGAATTAGCGATTTCATTGATAGAAAACAGAGCATCATATAGGGCAACAGGGGATCTTGATCGGGCGTTTTAATTAATTTGTGCGCTAAATAAATTTTTTAGTGTTTATTTAATTTTTTTCCATAAAAAACTTTTGAAGAGTCGACTTTAGTCGAGGAAAGAAAACCAAGAGAATAAAAGCTAACATAGGAATTCCCGACAATATTAATACTAATGGGTGTTTGGTTTCGTGGGAAATGGGAAATTAAATGATTTCCCAAGTTTAGTAAGCCCAAGTATGGAAAATGATTTTCCGGGTATATGGGAAAATGAAACCAGTCACACCCTTGTTATGATCTTAACTGTTGAAGATAAGTTTTCTTAATTTTTCTAAGATATGTTGAAGTATTTAGCTCTCTCTCTCTCTTCTTGTACAATTTCTTTAATATACGAGAGAAAAAATAAAATCAAGAGATTACATATATTGAAGTGAGATAGAAGAAAATAAGTAGACAGACATGAAATAACTTATATATGGTATCAGAGCCAGGTTTTGTTCTATCATCTAATCTTTCGAATTTTTATCAAGTTTGCATACAAGTTTACAGTTTCTAGTTGATCATTAGTCATGAAACATGTTTCAACTTGCACTCAATCTGTTGTTTTTTAGGTTGGAGGTCTTGGATGTCTACGAAAGCAAATTTGAGAAGCTAAGTGAATTACCCAGCTCTAGCTATGAAACAATGAGTGGCAGCAGGGACGGAGCCATTTATAAGTCTGCAGTGACCTTTCACAACCCTCTGAACATGTATAGAGTAGTATAGCCGTAGATTTGAGAAGAAATTCCTGTAATATATTTTAAACATGGTCTCAAGTCTCTAAACTTGTCATCATTATTGTAATGAAACCAATAAACGACGTCACCTTAAATTGAGCCAACCACATTGGACATGAAAAGCCAACATCATTATCTACAGGTTGGACATGAAAAGTTTTGAAATTTTCTATAAGCTATTATTTCCATCAATGACGTGCTTTAATTGTTACCTACGAAGTTGAAAAGTTATTATTTCTAGGGTTTTTAAGAGGAAGGCCCATACAATTAATATATAAACTCAACTTTTTTAGTTCTCACCCATGTCCATGTGATAATTAATGTACATCATAGAAACTATATTCAATATTTCTCAAAAAAAGAAAAAGAAATATATTCAATATAAATATACGCTAGGTGCGTGCCTACAAAATTCTTAACCAACAATAAATTTACCTATCTTTTCAAGTAAACTATTTTTTAGCAACCTATAATGTCTGCAAGCGTTGTTTGCACTTTTATGAACCTTGACAGTACGAGGAAAACTTTATGAATGAACTAAGAAGGCGTCATGAATAATAATTCTACTGCACTGCGAACTTTATTATACCAACATGCATATATTCCTCATTCATCAAATAGGTTAAAAACCTAAATGTATGTATGAACCATGAAAACTCCCAGACAAACATTCTAATAACCAAAATAAAAGCTTAAGGAAAAAGAAATGCAGACTAATAATCAAAGAAGTTGCAAGCATGTAGCGCTATTTGATGCAACTTTGCATCAAACTTGGCTTGCAGTAAGCGAAAAGTAGATTCAGCAACTCTGATTTTTCTCCACTTGTTCTCCAAGCTCCCTAATTTGTCTTGACTAAACCACCTCAAATCTAAACCACGACTTGTTAAATACTTATCAAAAGCTTCCATAACAAGATTATCGTCAAACAATACTTCCTTCTCCTGCAAGTTATCATCATCAACAACATCCGTTGCCTTTTTCTGAGCATCAGCACCTTCTTCAACTATACCATCATTAATATCAGCTTTGGTATTATTATTATTATTAGTGGTAGACCTAATACTCCCCCATGCTTGTTTTGATAGTTCAAACAATTTCTGCTCATGAGGCTTTGAGAAGACAGGATCCTCCCCATTTGGGCCGCGGTTCGCTTCGTTATTACGATATTTCTTCTTCAATCGACACACTTTATCAGCTATTTGACCTGTTGACACGTCCGCTTCGATGTACTTGTTGATCCAATTGTAGAACTTTTTTCCATCAAATGTTGTGAACTTTTTAAGAAATGAGATTATACCTTTCACCATAACAAGCTCATCCCTTTCGCTCCATACTCTCGCATTAGCAGCAGCAGAAGAAGACGACCTCGACTTGTTCTTCTTCTTCTTCATCATCTCCTTGTCCTTGTCCTTAGCATTATCACCACCAGTTTGGAGATTTGTTTCATTTTCTGCCTTCTTCCTCTTCTTGTTGGAGGCATCTCCGCCCTTTTCCTCTGGCTTCTCCCGGGGCCGTTTCTCATTGGATTTGTTCTTGGATTTTGCCTCAACATTGGTATCGGTTTTGGTTTTGGACTTGGTCTTGTTCTTTTTGGCAGAATCGGCCTCTGAATCGGGCTCCGATTCGCATCTGTATTCGGTGTCGGATCCAACCAAGGTAGGCGACTCTTGTGAATCAGGTGCAACTAGTTGTTCATCCTCCAGTTCATCGTCGTATGAATCAGATGGGTGGTCTTCATCAAAAGACGAAGAGGAAGAGTAAGAGGAAAAGTCGTAGGATGATGAGGATGACTGACTGACAGCCATGGACACAAACACTAGTGTTTGCTTACAGCTTCACAAAATTAAGTTTTGTCTTGGCTTACGCCTGTTTACTTTACAGATTAAGTATTTATATAATTAGCCTTCTTTGAATACGGAGGAGGGAAATCAATAAAAAAGAAGGCGCCAAAATTTTGCGATCTTTGGTTTTCCATTCCTCGATATATCTCTAATCAATTTAGATAAAGAATTAACCAAAATTCAAATAAAGTAAAATGGATGAAATTTCACCCTAAAATTGTTTATTTCCAATTCCAAATTCCCTCCAAAGGTTTCCCGACAGTTTTCTAGAGTTTATTTTAGGGCGCGAGTGATTGATTTTTTTTGGGAACTTGAGAGAATTATTCAACGGCTTTTTAATAGGTTTTAGAAGCAGAGTGATTGATTTTTTTTGGGAACTTGAGAGAATTATTCAACGGCTTTTTAATAGGTTTTAGAAGCAGCAGGTTTACATGACAAAAAGAAACAATGCTTTCTAATGTATTTTGTAATCTAGCTTCCCCACTTTCTTATCCTACTTTTTCAACACACATAACTCAATATTGTCATCTAAATAGAACCATCCATGACGGGCAGCCGGCTCTAGGCTTGGGCATCTAGGGCGACAGCCTAGGGCTTTGGATTAAGATATATATATATATATATTCAGGCCCATATTACAAGTAATTTCTTCAATTCTGAAGAGTCCAGGAAAGAAAACCAAGAGAATAAAAGTTAACATAGGAATTCCCGACAATATTAATACTAAGGGGTGTTTGGTTTCGTGGGAAATGGGAAATTACATGATTTCCCAAGTTTGGTCCAAGCATGAAAAATGATTTTCCGGGTATATGGGAAAATGAAACCGGCCACCCCCTTGTTATGATCTTAACTGTTGAAGATAAGTTTTCTTAATTTTTCTAAGATGTGTTGAAGTATTTGGCTCTCTCTCTTCTTGTACAATTTCTTTAATATACGAGAGAAAAAATAAAATCAAGAGATTACATATATTGAAGTGAGATAGAAGAAAATAAGTAGAAAAAATAATAATAGAAAAAAGAGATGGCAGGGTTCTCAATGTTTTTGCCATTGGGAGAAAGCAAGTCAAGTTTTAACATGGAGAAAGCAGTGTGCAACCATGGCTTCTTCATGATGGCTCCAAACCGTTGGATTCCATCTTCAAAAACACTCCAACGTCCACTGAGACTTGCAGACTCAACTACTTGTGTCACCGTTTCGATCTTACATCCGCCTAATCGGACCTCTCTCCTTGTTCGAGTTCATGACGTTCAAAACATCTCATATACAGATCAACGTGCTATACTGGTATGTTTTTATCTTATCTATAATTGGATTTGGATCCTTAAGTAAGCATGCATATGTATGTACTTATATATATTTTCGGTTATTGTTGTAATTCTTAGAACCAAGTGGCTCGAATGCTAAGGATATCGGAGAGAGATGAAATGGCCGTGACGGAATATCAGAAAGTGCATCCAGAAGCGAAAGCGAAAGGCTTCGGTCGAGTTTTCCGGTCGCCTACTCTCTTTGAAGACCTTGTCAAGTGTCTTCTTCTTTGTAATTGCACGTAAGTACGTATAATACTACACTTGTTTCTTATTTACATGCACGTGTACGTATAACAAATGAGATTTTGACACTTGACAGGTGGTCGAATACTTTGAAAATGGCTCGAGCTCTTTGTGAGCTTCAATTTGAGCTAAGTAATAATAAACCTTCAGCAAGGTCCGGACCATGCAAAGTTATAAATCAAATGGATGGTGGAATTTTAGGCAATTTTCCAACTTCAAAAGAACTCGCTGGCTTTGATGAGAATACTTTAATCAACGACCATAAAGTTCTTGGGTACAGAGCAAAACTCATTCTAAAACTTGCTAGAGATGTGGAGCGTGGGACGATACGACTTCATGAGTTTGAGAAAGCCCTCGAAGACACGTCGTTTAACCAGGATCAAGTGTTTCGGAGACTCATGAAAATCAAAGGGTTTGGTTCATATGCATGTGCCAATGCCATGATGTGCATTGGATATTATCAGCACGTTCCACTCGATACTGAAACTATAAGACACTTACAAGAGGCCAGTTCAACAAAACATACTCTTTACTCTTTTATTTATTAATTTCTAACACAATTATTCTTTTAAACTTGGAAAAATCTTTTTTTTTTTCTTTTCAGGTTCATGGGAGGAAGAACTGCGACAAAAAGACCGCCAATAATTATGTGGCAGAAATTTATGACAAATATGCACCATATCAGTGCTTGGCATACTGGTATGCATATGCTTTTAGATATATGCTAGCTCTTGTAGACTGTCTCACTAACATAACATAAGATTAATTTTTATGTTGTCGGAATGTGAATCTGATTCAACTTAGATTGGTGATCGGATTCACAATCTAACAACTTAGACCTTCGTCTATCAATAAAAATTTAAACATTTCGTACATATATATGTAATTTATTTGTAAATGCCTTTCATAGATTACTAGCGAACAAGTTTCAACTTGCACTCAATCGGTTGTTTTTTAGGTCGGAGCTCTTGGATTTCTACGAAAACAAATTTGGGAAGCTAAGTGAATTACCCAGCTCTAGCTATGAAACAGTGAGTGGCAGCAGGGACGGAGCCATTTACAAGTCTGCAGTGACCTTGACACCCTCTCTCCTTTCACAACTCTCTGAACATGACAAGCTATACAATAATGTTAGGGACACCAATTATTATACCAACTTATGTGACATATGACATGACAATCCATGCCACTGACTCACTTGCCACAACATCTTTTTTTAACTTGCTTAATTTTCTATTTTATCTTTTTTTAAAATAATTTATTTATAATTTATTTATAATTTTAGTATTTGAATCTCCATAGGATAGATAGCTGCAGCGACACAGCTTAGTGCAGTAACCACCACAATATACTGCCATCACCAGCCACTCCCTACCATCAATCTTGAGACCAACTCATCGGCCCATCATAATTTGTTTATGGGCTATTTGAATCTTATTTTTTTTTGATGAAAAAAATGGTGGCAAGTGTGCAACCACTCCGAGCCGGGGAGGGGTTAAGGTTAAAGCTCTTGATTGAATCAATTGGAATTAACAATTAAACCCTCGAGATTTCATTGTGAGATATGAGGTTTCCGTTGATGATCAACAATTTTTTTTTGGAGGAACTTTCAGTCACCAAAAGCACCCCTTTTGAACCCACGAAGAATTGAAACTAATTTAACATTTGGGGCAAAATAAAATGATTAATCCCACAAGCTAATGATACACGACAATCACAATTTGTTCTTAAGTTTGTGACTTGATTGTGTTTTTACTATTTGTTTTGTTTTTTAAAAAATACCTTTTTATTTGGCTTTGGAAGCACACAAATAAACAAAACTTGTCATTATCGTGATTTTTTACTATAATATTCCGGGATATTTGTAGAAATGTCACCTGAATTTATACATCAGTTTCAATTTGTCACCTTAAAGAAAAATTTAAGCAAAATGTCACCTTCAGTTTTCAAAATTCATGATTTGTCACCTGACTTTAACATCATCCAATTTTTCATCCATTTTGAAGGGTATTTTAGTATTTCCAATATGCAAATGTATGTTTTTTTTTTTCCTTGCAATTTGCAAATTAATGTGCCAAATATATGCGTGATTTAATTACAACCTTTTTGGCTTTCAAATTCTAAAGATCTTTTGCTGTTTTGTTAATTTCATAATCAACAGTTACCTTTTCCGTGGGTGCACTAGCTTGACCGCCACCACCTAACCTTGCCCTACCGGTTGCTTGAAATCAAAGTATGTAACATGCAAGTCGGGCTCGTTTGGTACACCGTGCAAGCTTGGATTGGCTTGGCTAAAATTTTATCTCATATTTGTTTCACCCGGTTCTAATTTTAAGTGAGATTAATTAATACTAGGCCCACCAAAAACACCTTCTTAGGTGTTCTTAGCTAAATCCGTCTGGAGAGGAGGGACTAACAATCCCTACCCAAGCAACGAGCAACCACGCCCAATCGCTCCACAACCACCGACCCACCAAACGACAGCCACAACCACCAGACACGACCACCAGCCACGATCACCAGCCATAGCCACCAGCCACAGCCACAGCCACCCAAGAAGGAGAAGACATAATTGAAGAGGAAGAGGAGAGAACAGAAAATTTTCGAAAAACAAAACAGAGAAGAGGAGAGAAAATGTAGAAGAAGAGATGAGAGGAATTTTTTGAAAAAAAGCAGAGAAGAGGAAAGAAAATGGAGAAGAGATGAGAGGAATTTTTTGAAAAAAAGCAAAGAAGAGGAAAGAAAATGGAGAAGAAGAGGAGAGAAAATTTTAGAAAAAAAACAGAGAAGAGGAGAGAAAATTTTAGAAAAAAAACAGAGAAGAGGAGATAAAATTTTAGCAAAAAAGAAAGAAAAGAAAAGTAGACAGAAGAAGAGGAGAGAAAATGGAGAAGAAGAAGATGAAAGAGATGTAGAAGGGAAGAAGAAGAAAGAGCAGCAGAGAGGTTCGTCCAAAAAAGAAAAAAAGAGATGCAGAGAGGAAGAAAGAGATGGAGAGAGAAGAAAAGTAAAACATATTTAAAAAAACCTTACTTTTCAACACCAAAAAAAAGTAGTCCTAGTCCAATCAAACATACACCAAACGCTGTACAAGTGTTATCCAGCTTATGTCAAGCCAAGCCAATCCAAAACAGTATCAATATTTAATCCAGTCCATGACAGTCCCCCGTACCAAACGAGCCTTAAATGGAAAGGACACACTCTCAGTCTCAGTCCAGGCTGCAATTGTTGCAACCTTCTGCTAAGCCCAAAGCATATAACATGCTCCCTTAACCTCGCCAACGGGACAGGGGTCCACTGCGATAGGAAATGAAGGGCATGACGTTGTTGTTTTGTCGTCCATGCTTCCAGTTTCTAAAAATAAAATTGACTAAGAAATAGAAAATATAATGTAACACAAAATCAAGTGAGGTT